TCTTGGAACTACTTTTCATCAAGAACTCTCTGCTGAGGTTGTGCTAGTGAAATAGTTAAAGTCAGTGTTCCCAGTGAAGCTAACAACCTGCATGATCATTTTTGCCATCTGCTGAACCTTCACTACCATGGCTCTCATAGCAAAGCCATTGCAGAACTTCAGGATTAACTGATCTATAATTAGTTCTTGATCTATAATTAGTTTCAGGTACTGGAACAACTGTGGCTTACACTGAGGCTAAAGATACCAGCACAACAGAAAAATCTCCAACTGTTGGACTAGTTCCTGGAGGTACTGGTCCCAATAACTCACACTGCTAAACATTAGAGAAATTAAATGCAAACTGACCAACTAGCCCACATAGAAGCTTTTTCCTTTGCATGCAAGTAGAGAACACAGGCCAGATCACTTGTGTAGTGTAGCATCTGGAGCATGTGTTAAACAGATTTAGTTCACATAGGACAGTGTGGAATCTGTAAGTTCCATGAAATCCCAGGAGTGCTCAGTAAAGGCAAACAATAAAGAAAGCTTCCAGCTAATACAGGATGAAGCATGTTAGGCTGTTCTAGCAGAGAAGCTAATCAAGTAGGAGCTTCTGGGTTTGGGAAATGCTTGCATATGACAATCTGCCAGCCTGTCAGTACGCAAGCTCACTGCGTCAAATTCTTATGCAGCGTTCAACACTAGTGGTACAACCTCTGAAGTAACTGCAGCTGGAAGAACATCAGCAGCTTGGATCATTCTTCCTGCTGGTGAGTAGAGCATTTACTAGCTTTTTGGACCCCATATTGTGGGACAAGCCACTCTTAGGAGCTTGACCTGACTCTACTCCATGTTCGCAATCTCTCTATCTCCTTGCAGTATTGCTGATGATGGCTGCAGTAGCTGGCTACTTCATGTGGCGTAACTGGCAGCACAAGAACATGAAAAGCATGAATTTTGATAATCCAGTTTACCTGAAAACCACAGAAGAGGACCTCACAATTGATATTGGAAGACACAGTGGTTCAGTAGGACATACCTACCCTGCAGTAAGTAAACCTATTATGTCTGAGGTTTATCCAGGTTAATAATTGGAGTAGAAAGACTGCCAAATGGCACCTGAATTGAATTTAGAAGTCTCTGCTTTTGAAAGCTTCTGGCTGCAGCACTACTGGGTTGAACCAACTGACAACTTTACCCTATAATTAAGGTTAAAGTTCTGGTAGGTAACTAGTGTCTGTACCTAGGATGGAGTAGTCTGCTGAATGTGGTCACTAGTCTGCAGAATTAGCAATGATGTGTGTTGCTTTGTCTTTTATTAGTGCAACTCTAGCTAACTTGTACTTACTTTTTTTACAGATATCTGTTGTCAGCACAGATGATGATATGGCGTGAGCAGTGGATCAGCAATCACTTTCAGTTTACTTGTGTCTTACTCTCTTTGGGGATAGTAACCAGGTTTGTGGCTGAAGGACTTCCTCCATTCTTGGAAGAAAGAAGATACTTTCTGTATTTATGGAACACTTGTGTAAATAGTTATTTTCTACAGCTTAACAACTCTGTAAATACCTGTCCACAACAATTCAGCTGTTAGTGGTTACAGTTTTATCAGTAACCCTTGGGTTGGTTAGTCAGTAACATCACTGACCAAATATAAAGCACTTTCCATAGAAAGCCATATTCCAGCCACAACTTGTAACACCTGTACATATGTCTATAGGCCACTTGTAAATAATTATTGGAAAATCACTATCAAGCACTTTGAAATACTTCAGATGTAAATTATTGTACACTCTCTTTTTCAATGATTGGGGCAATGGCAATAGGATAAAACGGGTTATTATGATTGCCAAAAATTTGTAAACATAAGTAATTTTATATGTACAATTGCTTCAATCTTGTCTGTTACCTCCTAGAGGTCTACAAGAATGAATGATCTTTAAGAAACCACTGTAAAACTCAAATGCAGCCAAGGGGATAAAAATAAAATGAGTCAAGCAGTTAAAGTATTGTTCTTGATTATTATGTTAGCACTGAAGTAAAATGATGTATCTCCTAAGTTGAAAGCTTTAGTAGGCTGCACTACCACTGCCAGCCAGATCATGAAGTATTTCTTCAATTACTTCAGCAGCATTCTAGGCACAAGTGTCAGGTAACGTGTTTGTTCTTGAGAGTAATAGTCTGCACAGAGTAATGGACAGTGTGGGTCTCCTGTTGGAGAAGCCCAGCTGATCTCATAAGTTAGCACTGACACAGGCAAAAATGACACAACTACTGCTGCCATATTTTGAGAGGCAGCACTGGCAGACGTGCAAGATGGAGACAGCTCAGAGCTCACCTCTGCCAGGTGAGTGTGAGGTCCTCGCAGCGCCAGGCTATTGGCAGTTACTCCCCGTACCTTTTGTAGTATGAGGTGCTACTTGACTGTTGCTAATCCTTCCCCCTTCAAGGTAAGAAAAAAATTGTTTATGGTGGGAGGGATGCAATTTCAGGGCTAAGACATAATTTGGAAGAAGCAATAATCTCTTGGTTATGCTTTCGTGATGACATATTAAATCATTCTCAATCAATCCTGTCTCTAAAATAGTAACAAAAAAAATCATTGAGTCAGAACTTGGATCAGTTCCTAGGCTTGCTTCTAATGCCTGTTCTCATTGCAGTTACAGCTGGGGTCTGTTCTCTTAATGGTCTTCTTGTATTGTGGACTCCTTTATTAACAGAGGAGGACAGCTGCCAACTTGTGCAGATTTAAAATAAGTTGTTTCTAGCAAGTTCACAACTCTTCGGGGAGTTGAAGCTTCTAACCAGCTATCTCTGGCAACTCTTGACTGCAGGCATTTAAGATATCGGGAACTCATGTGGACAAAATTGTCTTGCAAAGATTAGGATGTCAGGGGGCCTGTATAGTTTCTGGCTAGCAATACTGTATCTATTTTACAAAGTACCTTTTGGGATAAAGTGCCTTTCATAGCTGTGTAATATGTGAGGTTCATTAGTTATGGGGTAGAATTCAGCTTTTTCAGTTAAACTCCGAACTCTGGATACTCTGAAGTTGTAAAACAAAACATAATTCTCAGTCAGATGGTTAATTATAAATTCACATGGCAGCTACTTACAGGCAAAATGCTCTGCCTTCCCAGTCTTTGTACAGAACAGCTCTACTATTTTTTATTAAGTTCATTGCTCTTGCCAGTATCATATCAAATGGTATAAGTAGAGACCAGTAAGAGCAATAAAGACATTTCTTCCTGAGGTTAATATTTATTTGATGTAGCAACTCAAACATATTTTGGGAACCCAAGGCAGATTTACAGACACTGTGGACTCTAGGAATTTGTTTTCTGACTTTACTCCAATGTGCTGAACAAAGAATAGTGCCTTGAGAAACAAAATTTATTCCTATAGTTTAGAGGGGACTTAACACTTTACCAGATAAAATTTATATGGCTTCATATAGCAGGAGGGAGGAGTGGGGAGTATAAGGCAATAGCAGGAGATGATACAAGACAGCTTGTACTTATTTGCAAATGTTGTTTGGTTTTAAGTCTCACTAGGTTTATTCTTTCCTGCCCCTCTTCATTTTTGTGTTATGAAATCATTGTTTACTTGCACAGCAGGCTTGGATAGTGGTAGAGATTCCTTCTGTAAAAAGAGATCCAGCTTGCATTGACAAATACCATCCTCTCTTTTTTAACAGTTTTTTTCCCCTGCCATCTCCAAGTGTTTGACTCTGTTTTACTCCTTGTCTTATGACTTCTCTGGCATCTAGTGAAGGTGGCATAGCCATACTGAGCACTCCTAGAGCAGCACCCTGTGGCTGTGCTGGTGTCCACAGAAGGAATTCTCAGTCATCATCCCAGTCTCAGCTCCTCTGCTGCAGTTGTGTGGTATCCCAGAGCAATGGGACATTAATTACCTCTTTGGTCAGATTTCATTATTAGGTTGGTTTTATATTCCTCCTGAAGAATTTTCTGCTTATAGATAGAAAAATATGACTGTAGATGGTCATTGAGGTAGTATCAAGGTAATGGTATAGTATTGGCTTCGCAGAAAAATAAATAAGCCCTCTGATTCTAAACACTGCCTATTTCTGTTCAGTGTCTGCTGGCCAGTGTGACTGCAAAGCTAAATTTAAATCTTGTAAACATGCGAATTTCTTTTAATACACTTCCTCTGCCCCCACATTATTTTCTGCCTCCTATTTGATCTGCCTTTGTTTTTATAGCACTGTAAATATTTTACATTATTGCTCAGAGGAAAATTAACATAAAGGGAATTGATGTTGTGTGTGTGATTTTCTTCCTCTTCTGCACCTTGTTCCTCTACAGCTAGCTACAATATACCTTTTCCAACCCACCTTGTATTTGCCTACATTTTTAATGGACATACCTTTTTTCCAATCAGATCTTTCCTGAAACAGCAAAGATACATTTATCTATTTTTATGCAAGTGCTGAATCTTGCTAGATAAGAGAAGTACAAAACCAAAAACTTAGGCTGGAAGAAATAGTGTGAGAGTCCTCAGATAAAGGAAAAAAGCATACAGCTGAAGAAACTCTCTTCATTTCACAACCTGGATATAAGTGGAGGTCTGCCAGTACTTTCTGTAGGTATGGCACAGCATGGCTGGGAAGGAATGTGCTCGTGTTCCTTCTTTGAGCTGCCTCACAACAGTGGTTGGTACTGTCACTTACTGGAAGAAGGTGTTTGGAGAGGTTGGTATGCTCTGTTGAAGCAAACTTAATATGTTCCTTGCTTGCTGGTTTTTGCTTTTCCTCTCCTCAAAGAGCTTTGAAATTTGCCCATATTGATGAAAAACTCTTTAGAGCAGGGGAGGAACAGACAGGCTGTGCAATCAGGCTGCTGAATATCCAGGCTGTTAAACATCTGAAATAAAGACTGCCTGTGGAAAGAATGATTGTCTTAATTCTCCTTGCACAACCCTGGTTGGGACACTTCCACACCACTGTCAAGCAGAGGAAAATGCTTTGTATCATACATAAAACTTCCCCCCATCCCAAAAACCTAAACCTGTAACTGAAAGCTAACTTCACTAACATACTCTTTGCTCTCTAATAAATTGCTTGAAGATAGGAAACACTAAGCATTAAATCAAAACAAATGATTGTGAAAAACACATTTCACAGAAATGGATTTTTGCTGTGCAGTGTCCTTTGTAGAAAAACTAGATGTTTTTAAAGTAATTTTTTCCCTCCTTCCTAAGAAGATCCTTTCCTAGATCCTTTCCTAGAGTCAAACTTCAAAATACATGGAAATGTTTTATCATAATGTCAGTGCATATACTTGAAGCTGATAGGTAGATAGCAATGTAAAAAGATTAACTTAACATTCAAAACACTTGTTTCTTTCCAGTGAAAGTATTTTTGAAAGGCTGATCATTGAATGCAGTCAATGCCACAATCATCTAGAAACAGTGCTGCATGTTCTAATGTCCCCTTTGTGGATGTGTGCAGCTGAGAAGTGTGGTTTGGTTTAGATAGCTTATTCCTTTTTTGGATCCTTAAATATGACAGGTCATATGTGCATTTAAATGAAGACTTTCTTAAAAGTTAGATTATAATTCCACAGTGTCTTGTGGCTGCTACTGTCTAAGTTAGAAATGCTGTTAGTTTCTAACTTTTTGGCTGGTGCCTCTAGTGGTAAAAAAATTTAATCCTATTAACTTTCTACAAATAATGATCCTTAATGAAGCCTCAGTACAAAATTCAAGTTACATGTGCTATATTCATACAGGAGCAATGTGGTCATTCTAGTTTTACTAGAAGGTTTCACTGATTATTCTTTAATTAGACAGCATTCAACTCACTGCCCCTCTTCTCTTTTTTGGTGGAGGAATAAGTGGAAGTCATTTAGGGGCAGAGGGTGAATGGTATCTGTTGAATTTTTGTGTAAGTTTTTGGTTATGATCCACACACATTATCAAATTTCTGGTGCCAGGTAAAACCTGGTGATTTTGTAATTGTAGCATACCTATATCTTGTCTCAGAAATAGAGTTTGAAGAATTGCTTGGACAGAGGTGGGTAGCTGGCAGATTGTAGCATATAAATAGCTATTTCTTCATAGCCCTTTGTCTTTCTGGCAGCCTCCACTGCTAGTTTAATTTATGTAAGTGAATGTGGAGAAAGAAAAGTTGTAAAACTGCTTGCTTACAGAGAGCATAATTCAAATGGTGTCGTGAGAACTGCATTTCAGTATTTGATGTAGTGCATCCATCTGAGAGAAAAACCACTCAAAAAAGCCATTTTTCACCATCTTATGTTTCAGATGCAAATACCCCCTGACTGCTGAGGACTAATGTTTTGTTAGCTGTCTTTGTAATTTGAATGTCACAGGCAAGCAGTGGATGGTCCCAATTACATGATACCGCATAAGGGTCCCTTGCTGACCATCAAGAATCTCTGTCAGAAAGCTGTTTAGTGCTCCCTGTATTAGCATAACAGACATGACTTTCACTAGGAGCTACCCCAATGCTTTCTTTCAGTGCTCAGCAGTTAAGAGGATCCACTCCAGAGTAGGATTCTGCAAGTGGCTGTGACGTATAGCTTTAATAATTAGACCTGACATTCACTTTGCTCTTCTCATCTGACACTTCAGTAGCAGTTAGTTAATTTAACACTAAGTAGCAGTTTTTTTACATGGTACTGTAGAGGCAACTGAGAAAATGAAACTGCCTTTAAATTACCTCAGAATAGAAGGAAGTCATGCAGCCAGCCTGGTCATTAGGAGTGTAACAATCACATTAATGAATCAGTGAAGAATTGAAATAATCACAACTTATGTAAATCACTTATCTCCAGAGCCTGTTGGCCTGTAGGGAAGAAGTGAAGCTTCACTATTTGCCTCAAGAGACAGGGCTGAGCTAGGGATCTGCTGTGAGAAGTTCGATCCTCATCAGAGACTGTTCCAGTATCTCTGGTGTGCTTAAATATGTGGCAGCTTCCCCTTTGCCTGCACCTCCTCTTTCAGTTGTTTTTGAGAAGACTCTTGATGCTGTAAAATGAGGTCTTTAGTCTTAGCCATAGTTCACAGGAAGGAATCTGGCCCAAATTCATAACAATCTGAAGCAATCACATGGGTAAATCCAGGAACAAAAGCAAGATATGCAGAAGCCCTACTGCTCATGTTGCAAAATGTAGGGCAACTGAAATAGCAGACAAAGTCTGGGAGGCATCCATTAGGCCTGCAGCAACATCCCTAGGTGCTCCTTGAAGGAGGAGTCCCTGTCAGCAAGTCTGGGTCTAATGGAAAGTCTCCAGTCCTCTTCTGAGGGCGGCATGCAATGCCTCATCCATCTGTTGAAACAAAGGATCAAGGACTGATAATCAGGCAGAAGGACATCCTATGATATTTAAGATTTTCAGAAATTAATATTAAAAGGGGACCAATACATTGAAGATGAGAGCAGAAAATCAGTTTAAGTCAAAGGAGAAGCTGCCATATTAATTCTTCTTGCAGGGAATTGTTCTCAGTACAAGCTATTAATTTACGAGCTGCATTAAATACCATTTTCAAGTTTGACTATAAATGAAAGTCCAGAGGACCAGCTAGGTACAGATCAGCTCTTAAAATGATAAGGATTAAAAGGGCCATTACCAGACAGTAGCAGAGTATATACATTACCAATGATTTAATTTTGTTTCTTTGTATTTGTTACAAATAGGGAGGAAATCGAATCAATGTCTTCTCATCTTGGCAAATTTGTAGCTTGATTTGCTAGGAACTTACTGTTTGCTTTTAGAAGCAGTACACAGAGAAGTGTACTGAAAAAGAGCCCAGTTCACTGGAAAGAGGAAACAAAACTCAGAGAAATCCTCAGCCTGGCACAGAAGAAAATGCCTTGCTCAGCAATTTATCTTAAGCACACAAGCTGACACAGTTAGCTATGAAGAGGAATTGTCGTGGGATTCGTTGGCACTCTGGAGTTTCTGTGTGCTGGTCCATCATGTTTGATTGTTTAAGCTTCATGGACCTTAGAAGTGTAGACAATACAGTCCTGTGCTTTGTAAGGAGTCGCAGCTGCCTTCAGATTAGGTATGTATGAAAGGCTATTAAACAGCTCACGTGGTAAGTAAGTGGAAAGTGTGTTGCACTTATTCTGCTATTTGTTTCCTGCTTCATCTAAGACAAATCTCTTCTCTGCCTCAGCTTTCCCACTTGTACCAAGTCATGGTGCTATTACAAATGTAAACCAGAGCTTGTAAAGCTCTAGTGGAATGACGGGTGCATGTGCTTAGTGGTACTCATATGCAGAAGCACACTTGTATGAGCAGATTTCACTCAAAGATGCCCAATGCCATGACTTAACCAAATTTTAGCAGAGACCTGAGGTGAGTTGTTGTGGTGCTCTGCCTCTGTTTTTTTCTGGTGAGCAGTGTAGGTGCTTGTCCTGGTTTTGGCCAAGGACAGGGTATATCTTTGGCAACAGCCAAGAGTGGGGATGGCCAGACCCCGATGTTACACCATATCACCTCAGATCACTGCCAGGGACAGGTTAAGGGACTCTCTCTTCTAAGAAGACTGAGATTTCTGGATGGAAGAAAGCATGGTGGGGAAGAGCTGGTTGGGATTCCTTGTGGGCTTTCCATGTAAATGATTTCTATGTCTCACACATTTTGTTGTTAATATGGTATTTGTTACTGTTAATTTTCTTATCGCTTTGCTGTTCCCAGTAAATTGCTCTTACCTCAACCTGATTTTAACCTTTTGTGGCTCTGATTCTCCTCTCCGTCCTGCTGGAGTGGGAAGCATTAGGGGAAGGGGGGCAGTGAATGACAATTTGGTTTGGGAGAGTCTTGGTGGGGGCATTGAACTGGGGAACACCATTCCTAAACCGCAGATGTGTACCATAAGGATGTTTACTTCTCTGTTAGTTGTAAGATTTTGCATTAAACATGCAGTTTAATGAGAGAGAAAACAGAAATTACATATATGAATTGTAATATATACATATATGAAACTACATATATGAAGTTTAATCCAACCACATAATGTATATGTTCATTCTGCTAGACTTACTGCATTAGTAAGATGCATGTTTGAAAGAAATAGAAAGAGTAAGCACAGAATATTATGTCATTAACTGGATTTCAAATAGCCGTGGAAGAATCCTTGGAGGTAATTTTGTACAGCTTACTGCTCAGAGCAGGGCTCCTTTCAAAGCTAAATCAGGCTGCTTGGCTGGGCAAGGTGTGAGTTTGCAACTTAGATCAGACTTTATTACTCAGATTTGATTAACATATCTTTATGATGCTGGTTTCTTCTAGCAATGAGTTGACAAGGCTTTCTGGTACAAGGACACAAAACAAGGTATTATTCTTTGAAAAGAGAAATGGACTCAAATGCAGATGTCAGCCATCAGAGTAGTAAGAATGAGTTCTTTGGCACAATTAGTGTAATGCTTTCAATGAAAAGAAATATATTTCAGGACCTGACTCCTGAAGCAAGTTTATATGTTGACTTGCTTAAGACTGATTTTTTTTTTGTTAACTCTCAACCTCAATCAGTAGCTCCTAGACTCATATTGTGCATATATTCAGGTTACATGGGAAGTTCAATAATAATCTGGGTTTACTTTATGTTGTTTGGAAGTCTCATACACATGCCTACTGTACTGGTCATACATTAACAGCATAAAAACATTTTCAAAAGCTTCAAGCTAATAGTGTAAGAAAAGACCTTAAGGACATAGTGTTGCTGACTTTCAAACGGTTCTATTCAGTTTTATAGGACTATGCTACTAAGAATATTTTTTAAATCAAGATTTCTCTTAAACTTAACAAAATTATAATACATTGCTGTGATTGCAACATTTACATCGTGATAGTGCTAAACCATCTATGTCCCAAAGAAGTGGAGAATTTATCAAAATTGTAAGTAAAAGGAGAGACAAAGGAAAGTGTCTGGGGCTGATTAGTTTCTTCATCCCAAAGACAAAAAGTAAAAATCAAGTTAACACAGCTTGTATCAGTATACCATTTTGTCTTTAGGACAGAAGACTGGCATAGAAGCTGAATGCACTGTACCAATCTGCCCATCCTTTGCTAGGTTAAAGGAGGACAGTGAATAAAGTGTGGTACTAGAAAACTTCCTGGTGGCATTAAAAAAAAATCAGTAATTTTTTAGCTCTTTGATAAAACCAGAGTACTGAACATGTAAACGGTTCCCTGACTTTGCCTGTTTTGGTTCCAATCCTGCACTGCCTTCTCCCTGGAGGTAGGCATTTTTCCACTGTAATTTGTCTTTTTTATAACAGTCATGAAGAAATGTTTCCTTTCTGGGTTCATATTGCCACGTGATGCTTTCATTTTTAGTTTCTACGGTGCTGATCTTCCTTCTCAACAAACTCCTGAAGTCATTAGCAAACACAAGCAGTCTGGGATAATCAGTTACATAGGAAGCAAGACAACAGAGTCAGTATTATAGGAAGAGACATCTTTCTGCTGGAAGCTATGTCACCCCTGTATTGTTGATGGCATCAAAACAATCAAGGGGGTTTTTTTTCTCTGCTGAGTGCTCAAGTTTGTGCTTGAAGTGCTGAGCATTCAATTTTGCGTGCTGAAGAAATAAATTTCACTGCTAAGTTGGCAGACCACTCCCCCAGCTGGCTTCTCTCCCGTTGCCCTTGTGCAGTATCACAAAGGGAGCAGAGAGGTGTGCCTGCAGGAGAGTTGAACAAGGTGTGCCTGCAGGACAGCTGAGCACTTTGGAGTGCGGCACACTTCGCTGGAGCCCTGCTGCAGCCTGGCAGACCCTCTGCAGCGTACTGCCCTGTGGGACTGATCCTGCTGGGGCTGGGGGACTGGGACAGCCCTGAAGAAGCCAAGGAACACAAATGTTGTTCGGTTGCTCAGTTCCTTCCCTTTCAGCTGGGACCTGTGCCAAGCACAGGGAGCCCTGAGGATGTGTGCTGTCTCTCCCCCTCCTCCCTGCAGCAGCTGTGCACTCCAGCACCCAAATAAGTCTTAATCACTCCATGGTGGCTCTTTTGTTCAACTGTTTTTAAACTTGGAGACCCCTTTATGCAGTCAAGTTAACACAAGATTCGGGGCTTGAATCTGCATTGTTGTCTGCTTTGTGCAGTAATTTAATGGGCATGCCAAACGGTAGCTGAACAGCACTAAACCCTTGACCAGCTCTTTTTTTTATCTTTTGTGTACAGACAATCGATTATACAAGAGGCAAAATAGAATAGCTTGTTTGGTGTAAAACAAGCAACAAATTTTGTCGTATTGTCATTCGCATCCTTACTACAATTAATTAAAATTCACTTCGTGCAACTAAAGAAGGAGAGGCCCATATTGAGATACATTCATGACCTGTACCCAGGCATAACAATTGACATTAGGTGTAGCATTGTGCACACTTAAGATGGAACAACTATTTTTCCTGTATGTTTATGAATGTTTGCCCTGTTTTCAACAAAATCAAAACAAAATTATTAGCTTCAGATAAAGGGGGAGAAAGAATGGCACAAATTACAAAAAGTACCATGTATTAGGAAGGTTTCTTAATTGGTTACTGCTTCAGTGTCAGAGATAATTTCCTTTTTCATAATAAAAGAATATAATTTTCAGTGTCTGAGATATGATCACATGGAGTCTGGAGCACGGTGCTTCCTCAAACATCCACACAAAGCTGGAACCCTGGAACTGAAACCTGGTTTCTTCAAAGTAGCAGCTTCATAGACAAAGCAATAGTGTGAAGGTAACAGTCAACTAAGTTCAGCAGGACACATTTTGCAGAAGAAAAATCTCCAGGATCAGAATAGCCTAAATGGTACTGGTAATGAAGATATTACTGAGATTAATTTATTAAATTTACAGCAAAAGTTTCTATCTCAATTTTCAGGCATCTTGTTGGCTGCTCTGTGCAGGAAACAGCAGTCTTTGTGCAAGGGGAAAATGTCTGTGATGCTGTAAAACTCTGGAGTGTATATTTATTGCAAAGCAATTTAATCTTCTTGAGTTGATAGGGTTTGCCACAATTATACCAGCTTAAGAAATCAATGAAGCTTTAAGGACACACTCTGAGTTTAGAATATCCCGTCTCTTCTAGGATAATTTTGATCTGCCTTTAAAAAACAAAAGAGAGTTTTCTTCAAATTTTTGGGTTGAGAAATCTATTTTTACCACATGGTGTTAAATGCCAGAAGGAATTCTCTTACTTGAAATTATGCAAAGAAAACATATATGACATATTTCAATAGTGACATTCTAAAATTCAAACTGCCTTGGCTGGTAAAGGACATCTTCACAGGTTTAAATATTTAAATGGGTAGAATCATCTGTGTTACTTTAAAAAAGAAAAAAAACAACTAAATAAATCATTGGGAGCAAAATTTTATCTTCTGATGTATTCAAATGCACATGTAAATCCAACACTGCTGTGAGACATGAACTGATTTGGGTGATATGTGTTACAAGCAGAAAGAACCATGGTATTTCAGGGCTTATGAAAGAAAAAAAAACCCTGTACTTGAATATGAAGACCTATGAAACAGAGCAAATTATTGTTTTTAAGGAAAGAATATTTTTTAATTTTTGGTATGTAATAGTGTTATGTGTTTTAATGGAAGAAAATTAATAAATATAACAATGTCAGCCACCAGCAGGAGCAAGAGAATTCACACAGAGAAATAGCCTTTTCTGAAACAGTTGCTTTATAACCTTTGTTTTTTGTGCTATTTTGTGTGTACATCCACCAGAGGCTAAAACTATGATGTCATGGATATTTTCCTCATGACACGTTGTTGTGTCCACCACGGAGGGCAGCATGATAAATTTTCATCAGGCAGTCTGTCACCCAGCTGGCAGACAGTGAAATACAATACTGTCAGAGGGCAAGCCAATAAAGAAAAGAAGACAGAGACACAATGTTTTTCTGTCCTATGACCACCATTTTAGTTATGCTAATCCAACAAATTAAATGCAAGAAAATCTACTTAAAAGGCAATGTTATGCTCCAGCTGCCAAAAAAATCGAGAAATTGCAGTGTGATGCTGCTTCCAAAATGTGCCCTCTCCACGTGCACAT